GCCGAGCGGCCGAGGGGAGGCGTGGAGTGGAGCGGGGCGACAGCTGGCCCGGGTGCATCTGGGAAGACCCGGCGGAAACTTGGGGGCGACCGCAGGAGGAGGAGGTGATGGAGCCGGGATGGGAGTGGCTCCCGGGGCGAGAACGGGCGGAATGTCAGAGTTGCACCGGGGCTGGGAGGAGGAGAGACAGCGCCGTGTCACGTGGAGGGCACGGAAGGCCTTTGACTCCAGAAGTTAGTTGTGGATCGTCCAAGCGAGAAAGGGAGATAAAGCCATGGACACCGAGGAAGGTCGCAGCTGGGGATGCTCTGTGCGGAGGCCCGTGTAGGGCGGCCTGAGCAGCCTGGCTCCCCTGGCAGCGCCCTGCGCTCGCATCCTCGGCTCTCCGTGAGCCCTGCTATGCCCGGGATGAAGTCATTGGGCAGGGAGAGCCCCCGGGGGTAGCCAGGTTTTGGAGTCCGTGGCCTTTTCGCACTGAATCCTTACCCCCACCACGACTTCTGTCCTTGGGCCCGTTTCGTGCCGTTATGCCCTCCTGGCCTCATCTGCCCGGGTGTGACAGTGCCTTCTGATTCTTCCCCTGAAGAAAAAAAGGATGTGTGCACCAGGCCACTCCAGTTCTAATAGCTGGAAGGGAACTGGCTCTTAGGCAAGTAGTGCTGATATTAATTAAAAAAAACAAAAAACAACACCAGGTATTCTGTACTTCCGAGGCAAAAAGGGGAGGAGAAGCCGGATGGGAAGCTGACTGCAGCGTGGGGCCTCCTGTATTAGAACCTCTCCAGGGGTGTTTGGCCGGAGGTGCAAGAGTGAAGGCAGTTCAGGGGCTACACCCAGGTCCCTGGAACTTGTGTATATTTCGTATACATTGCTGCATGTAGAAACCCGGCGAGTGGGATTCCTGCCCTCAGAACAGGATGGTCGACACGCTGAATAACTGTAAAACATTCATCATGATAGTGTATATAACGCTTTAGTCTGCTGAGTTGTGAGGAACTCAGCATGACACAGATCTCTCTTAGATCTCAGCCCAGGAAGCACTCTGGCAGCCTCCCATCAGTTACACCATCTCCCCTGTAACGCGCTGTGGCCCAGACCTGAAGGTCTGCATGGAGCCATGTTTGTGGGAAATCAGAGAAGAGCAGTGTGCTGAGTGGGGCGTATTTAAGGGATTGAGAGAGTTAGGGAAGGCTTCCTAGAGTTTTCAGCCAGAGTTAGTGACTGCTGTTACACTCCATTAAGGAGGAATTTTCAGCACAGTGGGTGGGCAAAAGAGATAGACATCAAAGAGAAGAAAGCAGCTAGGCACCTCTGCAGCACCCAGTCCTTGAAGGGGACTTCCCCACTATTTCTGCTTTGCCTTCTCTTCCAGATGCCTCATCCCCGAAGGTACCCATCCTCAGAACGAGGCAGCCGGGGGAGTTACCACGAACACTATCGAAGCCGAAAGCATAAGAGACGAAGAAGCCGATCCTGGTCAAGTAGCAGCGACCGGACACGGAGGCATCGACGGGAAGACAGCTACCATGTTCGTTCCCGGAGGTGAGACCTTGTACTCATTCATTCATTTAACAACGATTTGTTGGTTACATGTTAAGCACCTGGGTGAAGGTGATGCTCAAGATGGATGACAAAATAAGGCATTTGCACTGTGATATCAAGAGTGTTATCATAGAGGAAGTATGCAGGAAAGGGCTGAGGAAGCATCTAGCAGGTTTGGTTGGAGTAGGACAGGGTGTGTAGTTCAAGGAAAATTTCCCAGAGTGTGTGACGTCTAAACTCATCTGAAATATAAGGGTGAAGTGTCCCAGATGAAGGGAAAGCAAATGCAAAAGACTAGGGGCTGGAAGTAGCCGGTGAGCTAATAGACAAGACAGAATTAGGTTTGCATGGTTTTAATGACTTAGCGGCATCTTCGGTGGAGGGATGGGTTAGGGACAGTTTGGAGCAAAGCTGGATGGAGGGAAGGCTTACGGCTTTGTTCCATTAAGTCACTGGAGGGAAGGAGATGGCCCCAGAGGATGTAGTTCTGCAGGTGTCTTTTCAGATTCTTGGTGACATGCAGGTGGTGATTCCTCCTCTGCACTCAGTTACTTCAATTCTCTGGTCCTCAGTCCTCAGAGACTTGATGGGTGTCTGAGAGCCATTTTCCCAGCAGCGCTCTTTCCTCACTGCGGGGGGACCTTGTCACGTGGTGTGGCAAGGAATGTGGCTGATCAGATGCACCTAATGGGTGTTTGTTGTCCAACAGCAGCTACGATGACCGCTCCTCTGACCGGAGAGCGTATGACCGGCGGTACTGTGGCAGCTACAGACGCAATGACTACAGCAGGGACCGAGGAGAGGCCTACTATGACACGGACTACCGGCATTCCTACGAGTATCATCGGGAGAACAGCAGTTACCGCAGCCAGCGCAGCAGCCGAAGGAAGCACCGACGGCGGAGGCGGCGCAGTCGGACATTCAGCCGCTCATCTTCGGTGAGTGCCAGCCCAGGCCCTTCCTCTCCCCTTCAGCCCTCTGGGACCCTGGTAAGTGAGAAGTGTCCTTGTTCTCAGCTGATTCTTGGGGCATGCACACTGAGGTGGGCACTGAGCCTGTCTCTCTTGGAAGCTCTTCGACTCTTGGAGGCCCCAGAATCTGCTTTAGAGACGGATGGGCACAGAGCACGTGTGAGCCCAGCGCCCTCTCTGGCATGCTGGCCTTACTGTGCAGGGAGCAGCTTCCCTGCCCCAGCGGCCTGCACTCTCCAATGGGGGCCTTGCTTGTGAACTGCCTTTCTCCCCCAAGCCCTGGGCTCCATGGCCCCCTCAGTCGGTGGGCTTGGGTGGGGGAAAAGGGAGATTTGTGCCTGCCTGGAAGGGCATTGTGTAGAGCATGGGGTTGTGGGTGACATGGGCACAACGACACCACTTCTCTGCTCTGCCCGAGCCTCTCCTTGTTCCCGTTTTGGGTTTGGGACTTGGGGTTATGCGCCGCTCTCTCTTCTCACCCCGATCCGCCTTACTGCATCTGACGTGTTCCCTTCCACTGTCCCCCATCATCGTCTGTCCCCCCTGGCTGGGCGCCTGTGACCGGTGGCCCCTCCACCACCCACCCCGCCTCCCTCCGGCCCCCGCCCCCACCTGG